CATTTTTCGTTATTGGCTTATTGCTTGTAAATTTTGTAATGTAAAATGATCACACGCGATGCACACACGCACATACCACGCACCCTCGTACACACGATCCTCGGATCTCCAACGGATCTCATCACATGGTCAACATCGCGCATACCCACAATAACTCATGCACCTCGCTCGCATAGGATCCATCCGCCTGATTAATCTTTTTATTAAATTATTAACCTCAATTATTTTATAAACTAACTAATTAATCCTTTTTAATCACTTAACTAATAATTATTTTTTTAAATCAACCTAATTAATAATTATTAATATCTATTCTAATCACCCTTTTTAATTAATTGGACTGCATTTTATTTATTTAATCTCTTAATTAACTTTTCTTTTAATTAACTAATAATAAATTCGTTTGTTAATCTTTTCTTAAATAAATAGTAATTCTTAATTAACCTTTGCAAAAAGGTAAATCAACCTTTTAATTAAGTTCTATTTCTAATATCTTGGCAATTGTTTAAATAAGCGTCTTCCTTTTAATTAGTTAATTTGATAATTCTTGAGTGAACTTTTTATAAAATCTTTCTTAATCAACCCACACTTAAAATTAATCTTTCTAAGCAACATGATAATCACTCTTTTTTTTAAATAATTAGAAAATATTTCATAACTTAACTTTACTTATTTAATAAAAATAATGATATAATAACTAAGTTTATTATAATAATAAAAACTTATTTTATAACTAAGGGAAATAGTAACTTGTTAATAGAATATTATCTTGTATCTGATAAAACTTTTTATAAACCCTTTTATTTAAAATCAAATCTCACCCAAATAATTTATTTTCCCATTAATACAAATTCGACTAAAATTAATCAACTTCGCCTAAAATCCAATCGCACGCGCTTGCACTCCGCTCACATTATTCACTCTCACTCACTTAGCGCTTTCATGCGTTCGTGTATGTTTTACTTCATCCGCAACTTTTATTTACTGCAATTTATATTTACCATCATTTATCTTATCGCATCACATAAACGTCCAAAGGAAGAATCTGCGCGTAACGTAAAACTTACGCGAATGCATCTCATTTGCATCATCAACCCCATTGATCCTTGATCCCATTCAAGTCTATCACTTAAGATAGATCCTACCCCATAGGAGGGCCTTTGTCTTTTATCTTTACAACTTAGAAAAACAAAATAATTCAACTCAAATCAAACATTATTCAAACATATTAGAGAATAAGATGTTAATCATCTTAAGCGAGATAAAACTTCTAACCCATAACAATTCAATCAATATGTAGGGACTTTTCCGCTTAAGAGAGATAGAGGCGTACTTGTTGACAATCCGAGTACTTAAGCCCTTCTCTTAAGACGATGCAAAGACTATTTTCCTACAAAGTTGTGGTGGTTAAATCAAGTAATCTCCCTTAAAATGACAACTCATCTTTTCTCTTAAAATCAATCAATCAACTACCCTTATCCCATAGGAACTTTGACCATATTCAAAGAACTCCTCAAACCCTTTAGGGGAACTACAAATACTGTGATTCCATTCCCGTCAGGATATGTAGGCATAAGATGCGACATCTTGTCGAGTATACTTAGAAATAAACTCCTAGGTCTTTCATCCTTAAGCAGATAAACCTTAGGAATAAACAACATATAACAAGAGGTTCCTGTAGAGTACTACCAAAACTTAGGATGCTAGCACCTTTCCTAAGTTTAACCAACCCCGAACCTATAACTCTCTAGCTTTTGCATTTACACTGCATTGTGGGTAATTCGATCTTTTCCTCTTCCTTTGGACAAATAAAAGACCGGTTGTAATGAATTTAGATTCAAGCTAATCAATAGCTTGGTATCCAATTTTCACTGCGACATCGTGGAATAGTACAACACTACTTTTCTTAACCTTGATGAAGATGGCATATGTTAGAGATGAAGGAGGGAGACGAATAAGAAGAACAACAAATTAGATCAGTTGAATATGAACAATTGAAGGGAACTCGTGTAATGGAGGAAAACGGTGAAATAACAAAAAGAAAGGGATTAGGGCTCACTGTGTTTTGGTATACTATTTATGATAAAAAAATTTATTCCAAAACAAAACTGATGTGTGTTGCACCCCAAAATTTGCCCTCTTATTTTCAACCATAACTGCCTTGTGTTTCACGTTCATGTGCATTTTCCATTAGGACATAACCTTGCATTCATTCATTTGCATTGAGCTCCTAAAGACATGGATCAAAACATTTTCCCGTGATTTGAGTTTTCCCTATTAAGAGGTGATTTATCTGGACATTGCACTCGAGTTGAGATAAATGATGAGTTCCCAACATCATGATTATCTTCTTTATCGAGGCTCATCAGATATCAAGGTCATCTTCTTCATGATTGTTTAAGAGGATCAGTGTGCACTCAAGGGGAGGAATTTCAGTTTCAAGTCAAATGTGGTTATTCATTCATGATTTTATCTGGGCATTTTAAATTTTTTATTCATCCGACTTTATTTTTACTTTGCATAGCACGTATTTTATCTCGCATAGTGTCTAAAATGTCACCGGAATAATTTCTCGAACTTACAGACAGACCAGTCAAACTGAATCTCAACAGTGCATAAAATCGGTGGACGTAAAATTTTAAAATCGAGCTTGCAGACGTTAATTATATTGATCTACATTTAGCGTAGTTTAATCCAACGTGTTCGTTTTATTTTTCAACCATTTTTCGTCGCATTTTGATTAGTTTGAGTGTTTTAACGGATCAAAATTTATTTTAAAATCTGATCAAACGCTGTATTTTTTCAAGTCGTATATTTCGCGCTGATCATTTTGGTGTACTCGGTTTATTTTTTCGAGCACTTTGGCGTCTGACTTTTATTTATTTGGGTTTCAATTATTTTTATATTTTTGTCTAAATATTTAAAATAAATAAATAGGATAATTACTGTTTTAATTTTAATTTTATTTTAGATTTAACTAATTATTTAATTTGAGCTTTAAAATGAATATTATAAACATTATTGACAATTTAGGGTTAATTCTAATTTGATACCTATATAAATATAAGTTGTATTTGTTGAAAGGGAGTAAAAAGGGAGGCTCGGAAAAATACACAAAGCGCGACATAGGTATCAATTTTCACTCGACATTGTTTTGTGCATAGAATTTTCGTTAGATATCCGCAGAATTCCTATTGATCTACTGCTACTATTCTCTTTCAATTAACTAGTAATATGTGTTACTGTTCATATGCCGCTACTGTTTGAATATATTGGTCTCAGCATCGTTTCGTGCGTAGAAATTGGATTGAGGCATTGCTATTTCAATTAGTTACTACATATTTGTCACTACTGTGCAATTATTATTTTATATGTAAAATTCTATACTGACACATTTATATATAAATAAGTTTTAAAAAATTCTAAAAGATTTAGTATTATCCTATGTACTTGACACTTAAACATAATATATAAATAAGTTCTAAAAAGTTTATTATATAGAAGATACTGTCATGTTAAACGTTTCAAATCTGGGTTCTAACATTTTATATATATATATATATATATATATATATATATATATATATATATATATATATATATATATATATATATATATATATATATATATATATATATATATATATATATATATATATATATATATATATATATATATATATATATATATATATATATATATATATGCATCGCCAGTGTTAAAGATTTTTTATATTATCAGTTGATTACAACCGTTAATTTATTTGAAATGTCTGATTTTTATTTTAACCACTTAAAAATTAAAAAGTAATAATAACGGATGGTTGTAATGAATCGACAGTCTAAAATTTTTTACATATTTATTATTTTTATTTTTTATTTATAAACTTCACAAAATACATTTTAATTTTATTAATGCTTAGAAATCTTTAGTCGAAGAAATTGTATTGTGTTATTTTTTATACTATGATCAATATGGTGTTGGTCTAGTTTATTTTATTTTATATGCTATAAAGTTCATTAAGGTTACTAATATGGGCTATGATGCATGCAAACCCCCAGCTATACCCAAGAGAGAAAAAACCTCCATATAGCGTAATAACGGCTTAAAATCATGCACAAAATTATCTTCCTACGAAACTGGATTTTGATTAATTCTGAATATCACGTTGAATTGAAGCGGCTTTTTTGCCCTTAAACGTTCAACATTTTCAGAGCTTAATTAATTTATTTTTCTTCTCTTATGTTGATCCGTTCTTCTTCTTGATCCCTCCATTATCCATTGAGGTGAGTTCTCTTATAATCACAAATGTGCTTTGTTGGATCTGTTTTTACTCTTTATTCACATTATCTTTCTAGGTTTTTCTATGTTTTGGTTAAAGCTTGAAGATTTTCTTTCGATTATGTTGTTGTTATTGTGGTATATAGCCATTAATTTCTTGTACTTCATTAGGGCATGATTTTCAGGGTTTTCTGCCAGTGAATGTTTAATGATCGATGTTATTTGGAAAATACTGTTCTTACTTTAATTGGAAACATGGTTTTAAATTGTGGTTACACTGATATTGCGTGAAAATGCAGTCAAAACTGTCAGATTGTGGTTGAGACGCCTTTAAGGTCGCTGTTACACTGAAATTGGGTGAAAATGCAGTCAATACTGTCGAAATTGTGGTTGAGATGCTGTTATGGAGACCTTCAATTCCTTTAGGTCGCAATTGCAAACCGCAATTTAAAACCATGATCGAGATGTTTTTCTCTGAATAAAAACGCTGCTTATTTTGATTCATTTTATGTATACAACTATGAACTATCTCCAAGGAGATTTGAACTTTGTTCCTTAGTTTACAAAGCCAAACTCTTAGCACTTAGTTGAAACTTCATGTGAGATGACTTTTCTGCTTGCAAAAATTACAATGAAAAAACTTATATATGACATCATCATTTATTTTTTTTATCATTAAAACAAGTTCTTTGATTAGCAGGAAATAAGCATTCCTTCAATGGCAGAAGAAACCTTTAGAGATGATTCACAACAAAACCATTTTAGTCGCTTAAAAGATCAAGTTCGTTTGGTTAAAAGGAAAAACTGTGAACGCTATGAGGTTGCTCCAATCAAAGACAAACTATCATTTGAGAATGGGTTTTTTATGGTACTCCATGCATGCCAGCTGTTGGCCCAGAAAAATGATGGAGTGATATTAATAGGGGTGGGGGGTCCTTCGGGGGCTGGAAAGACTGTGTTAGCTGATAAGATATTCAACTCCATGCCTGGCATTGCTGTTATTTCAATGGACAATTACAATGATTCTAGTCGAATTGTCGATGGAAACTTTGATGGTAAATCGTTATGTCATCTTTTCTTACGTGAATACATAAGTGCCACAACTCATTCTCTCATTTTTCTTCTCCCTGATAAAAAAGTATCAATTGTGAAATAACATACTTTTCTTATCAATTGTGCTCACTGCTGATTAGATTTACGATTATTTGAATTAGTGTAATGTAATGACATGCTTGTAAAACACTAAAACTGATAAAAAAAGTCTTTAGAGCTAATGGTTTTGTTTCGAGTCTACTCTTATACCAATCTCCTTTTAAGATCTAATAAAATGAAAGTGCTAGTTTTTGTACCAAAAAGATATTTTCACATGTTAGTCATCGAATACTTAATTGTGTAGAAAACACTTGAATGAATATATAAGCCCGATATAAACTGAGATAAATAATTTTAAAATGTAGCATTAAAGACAATGCTCATGCATGAAAGGAGTTAATATGTTGTTGCAAAGATAAAACTGCCTGGTCCACAGAATTACGTGTCTGTGTATGACTTTCTTTTCATACTTTGATTATTTCTGATATTTTGATCAATGTTGTCACCTCTAATATATCTGTTTGAGCAGATCCACGTTTAACAGACTATGAAACGTTGCTTCGAAATGTATGTGATTTAAAGGCAGGAAAGCCAGTTGAAGTTCCTGTATATGATTTCAAATCCAGTTCACGTACAGGATACAGGTTAATCCTGAGCTACCTCTGAATACTTGTGTGTTTTGTTTCTGTAGTTTGCTATTCCTTAATTTATTAGGAAATCTAGGCTATGCATTCAATTTTAGCTTGCAGTGTATTTTATTTCCAGGACGGTCGAAGTCCCGAGCTCTCGGATTGTTATTATAGAGGGCATTTATGCTTTGAGTGAGAGGTTAAGACCTCTACTGGACCTTCGAGTATCTGTAACAGGAGGCATTCATCTTGACCTCATCAAACGAGTTATACGTGATATACAACGTGCTGGTCAAGAACCTCAAGAAATCATTCATCAAATATCTGAGACGGTGCACATTTTGTTTTATTCCCTTCATTGCTATACAATATAGGTTTGTGCTTAACTACATAATTGCTCAATTTATTCTTCTGCAGGTATATCCAATGTACAAGGCTTATATTGAGCCAGATCTCCAAACAGCACATATAAAAATAGCCAACAAGTTTAATCCATTTTTTGGATTCCAAAGCCCTACTTACATATTAAAGGTTAGTTCTCAGATAACAATACTATACTTGTGTCAATGTGTAAGTACACAAATATAGAAATTCCTGTTAGTTCTGATGCTTGTAAGTGACAGATGATATTACTTTAGTTATACTTGTATTAGTGTAAGTACACAAATATTCTGTGATCGCTAATGCTATATAAAGAGTTAGTGATCAATGTTATGATTTGTTCTAGTCAACTAGGAATGTATCGGTGGATCAAATTAAAGCTGTTCTATCCCAAGATTTTGAGGAAACAACTGAGCAGACTTATGACATATATCTTCTACCACCCGGTGAAGATCCAGAGAGCTGTCAATCATATTTACGGATGCGAAATAAAGATGGGAAATACAGTCTCATGTTTGAGGTTTGCCTCATCCAGTTTTGGTTCCTTTCTTCTGTAAAATTTAAAATCCGAATAGCCAAGAATTGACTTGCTTCCTTGTGTAAACTAATTGATGGCTTATACATGAAGGAATGGGTGACTGATGATCCATTTGTCATATCACCAAGAATTACTTTTGCGGTCAGTGTGCGTCTTCTTGGTGGACTTATGGCCCTTGGATACACAATAGCAACCATCCTTAAAAGAAGCAGCCATATCTTATCTGATGATGAGGTTTGTGTAAAACTAGATTGGCTTGAGCAACTAAATCGACATTATGTTCAGGTATTTTTAGAGTACATCTAGAATCCTATTTTACTACTCTCTCAAATGCTTAGAAAGATTTTCATTTTAAAAATTTTCTGGTGTTTTGGATTTGGTATTAAGATGCTTAGTCCATGTATCTTTTATGGTTTGGCATCATGGTATCAAATTATAGTTGTAGCCACATATGTGATTGTAATTAAGGGAATCGTGGATGTTGCCGTATATATTGCACACAAGAAACAATCATTGCTTAAATCTAAACTATGGAAGACCAAGCCTATTACGATTGCAATTCGAATCCATGTTTATAATCTCTTAGGTTTCACATTTTGTGCTTTCATTTATTCTTTGATTTGTATATCTCTTTTCTTTTGGTTGATAACACATTGCACAATAATAAACAGGTACAGGGAACAGATCGATTAGCTGTATCATACATAGCACAACAAATGGGTTTGGAAGGTTCATACATTCCCCGGACTTATATTGAGCAGATTCAACTTGAAAAGCTTGTAATGGTATGAAATACTCTAGTCTTTAGCACCTATGGTCCCTCATCAAAATTCTCTTTCTAACTATTCCGCACAGGCCATGCCAGATGATTTAATAAGAAGAAAGCTCAACCTTACTGAAGATTTGGTGTCAAGCCCCAAAGCAGCACATTTTAGAACCTCTAGTGATGGGACTTCCATGAGACATAAGCGTATCAGAAGGTGAATATTTAGTATATATACTTTTCTATTGACTCGACAACATTCAATCTTATACAATACTGCAAGTCTTATAATTGTGTAATGAAATTTTCCTTTATGCTTGAATGGTATTTCTTTACCGCGTATTGCATTAAAAAACCAGGTCAAGCATTTTCTAGAGTGGATAATTCTAGCTGATTTTGACCAATGAGTTTATGGTAGTTATGTCATTTGACCAACTTATCTCTGCATCTTTCCAATATTTGATTGCTCTGATGTATGAAATAATTGGATATCCATTGTACTTTTTAAATGATAAAATAATAGGCTTCTCTAGAGTTTGCAAATATAGTAGTGTCTGTGATGTGAGTTAAATATAGGCCAGAGTAATTTTATCGAATAAAAATATTTTCAACAGTGATATTTCACAGTTGAATAATAACACCAATGTGCATGTATCTTCATTAGTGATATGTCACAGTCATTTACAAATCAAAAGGATGAAAATCAAGCCAAAGTAACTGGATTCGTGCCGAACCATCAAGGACTTCATGAAAAAAATAGTTCAGATTCCGAAATGAAACTGGAAAATCAGGCAAGTTCATTTAATTTTAGCAATTTTCATTGTAAAATCATTTTCTTAATTTAAAGATCACTCTATAGAATTTCATTCAACAATGATTTTGGTACTTTGCAGGGTACCATCACTCAGCTTTCAGAACAAATTGCATCCCTGCATGATAGAATGGGCGAATTTACAAATCGTATTGAAGAGCTGAACTCAAAGTTAACCACAAGCGAAAATTGTCCAAACCAACAAAATATGGTCCTGCAATCTGAGTCGTGTGATGGCTCTGCTCCCACCTCTTACTTCGTCACTTGTTTGAGTAATGGTTCCCTAATTGGATCTATAATGCCAAATTCCTCATTCCCATCACAATTAACTTTGAGTAATGGTTCCCTAACTGGATCTACAATGCCAAATTCCTCATTCCCATCACAATTAACTAAGGATGCACCTTTAAGAGATGAGGTATGCATCTTTTCATATTCTGATGTATCAACTTTCTCTCAATTACTAAGATATGTGATATTGATGTTGCATTAGTTCTTGACTGATTTTTGTGATCATCAGATATCAGGTATTGCACGGGTTCAACGCCAGATAATGAATCAGTTGGACAATTTGAATAATATTTTCTGTGAGAATTTGGAAGAGAAGCCTCATCAAACAAGAACCAACTGGAAAAGTGCTTCTTCTTCTTCTTCAGATTCCGGTGGACGTCAGATAATAGCTGCAGTGGCTATTGGTTGTTTGAGCATCTTCGTAATGAAGGGTTTGTTAACCGGAAATTGATTCTTGTAAATATATAGGCTAGTCTATTTTTCTTCTACTTCATGACATTTCAGATTATAGAATGAATTTTTTTAGCAAAACCCGAATCATCAAGAATTCCAAGATTGACTCACTCAAATTTCAACTTGTTAATGTTTGACAGAATTTCGTAATTAATTTATGAGTTTGGTCATATAGTTCTGAAATCTCCAATTTAAACTACAATATTAGGTGAATAAGTAAAACTAATATTACTAAATCACATTGATAAAGTTAACTTCTTTGTCTTTCTTTGATGAAATCTTTCTCTTAAAATTCTGTCTCTGTTTGATGAAATCTTTCTCTTGAAATTTTTTCTTGCATTTTAAACTTTTCAGATACTCAATTACATAATTGTGTTATTTATGAGTGCACAGTTAAGTATCTATCTGTTTTTATTGTTAAACTTTTGTATCCCTCAATCAGCTTTTAATAGGGAGAGTCTTGCTTGAGGGGACTGTTACTGTTAATGAAATAGTGGATTTTGCAAAGAGATCTAAGAAAGATTGTTTCATTTTTAAGGGGGATTTCGAGAAGGCCTTTGACTCTGTTAATTGGAGTTTTTTTTTACTATATGCTCTCTATATTTGGTTTGATTCAAAGTGGCGCGCTTGAATGCATGCGCGTGTGTATATTTTTGGATAATTTGTTTGTTTTTAGTGGGTGATTTTTTCCATTGTAAATTACCTATACCCTTTAATTATTTTGGTCTTGCTGTGAGAGCCTTGTTCTGAGTCTTCTTGGGAGCCACTAATTAACTTGATTTCTAAGATGTTGGTTAACTGACGGAATAAATATGTGAGTTTCAAGAGGGAGTAGTCAATTCTTAATTCAATTCTTAATTCTATTCTTAATTCTATTCTATACTTGTATTTTATCTCTCTTGTTACGAAGATGCCTTTGAAGGTCCGAGAGAATTGTGAGAATTCAAATACGCTTCCTTTGGGGTGAAAGGCGATGTTAAGATTTCTTGGATTTATGGTATGTTGTTTGTAAGTCTAAGAATTTGGCAGGGTTGAAAGTATTGGACATATGACTCATAAGAGAAGTGAATTCTATAGATTTGAAAATTGTTTATTTAAAAAAAATCATTTGATAATTCAGAGTTTAAAATCATACTATGAAAACAATTGACAATGCAACAGAAATTCAAAATAAATACCCTAAAAGTAAAGAGATAAAGGAAGAGAGATAACGCCGAAGAATTATACAACTTTAGTCAAGAAGATTTAATCTTGTTTCAAAGAATTGATCTTGATATTATCCACTATGCATGAGAGCTTTTAAAAGGTAAAGCCCACAAACCCCCTTATATAAGAAAATGAAGCTTCATGGTGACTTATAACCAAACAAGAAACATTGCTTGCAGCAGTTAGTCTTTGCACAAAACATAGGTTTTGCACGAGCTGTTCTCAAAGGAAGATGGAGTTTTGAGTAAGCTATCCTCCGAACCAAAACGCGGTTTTATATACAGGCTGACCATGAATCAAGACAAAGTTTTGAGTTGGCTATCCTCCAAACCAAACGAAGATTTATATTGGGATGATCTCAAACCTACCGAGCTTTTGTATAGGGCTAAACTCAAAAACTGAGGAAAATTTTATACCAGAATGATCTCGAACCAATGAAGTTTTTAATCGGACTGAGCTCAAGAACTCTTGTGGAGATTTTTCAATGTTTTATCTTCACAAACCCAAAAGAGAATTTTTCTTCAATGACGGAGCTCACAAACCAAACAGAAACTTAGACAAATCCCCCTAATAAAAATAAGAGTTTTCCCGATGGTTTAGTTATCAACCAAAGTAATCATTTCCTAAGAAAGAATTATTTACTCAAGAAAAAATTCACTCTTGGTAAATTTACAATAATACCCCTCAGACAGAACAATATCTTAATTGAGACTAAAGAGCGTGCATGCGCGCGTACGCGTGTGTGTGTGTGATTTAGTCATAATACTTTCTGAAATGAAATTATATCTTAACAAGACACTGATCACTCAAACGGACACGATTAAGCGAGCTTTCGCACTTTCTCTTTCACACTCTTAAGCTTCAAGTCCTATCAACAAAATATTTGACCTTAGTGCATGCAAGAATATTGAGTCTTTTTTATGAGGCTTGAGATATCTCTATGTTAATTACCATCATCTGATAGACTGAAAGCTAAAATCACAGGTGATCAAAAATCCTAAGTTTTCACTTGAGAGTCTTTGGACTGTAGTGTTGACTTTAAACAAGTCTTTAGTTTGATTTGGGAGGATAACTTTATCAACCATCTTGTGCATCTTTAACTGCTTGAGCTATCTTTAATATTTGCTGGAGTTTAAGTGTTGTCATCATTAAAATCATGTCTTCGTCAAGACTAAAAATCTATTGATCTTGTTATCCATAAGCTTTACCATCTTGGATCACTTATAGATTATACCCGCAAACACATAAATCCATAGGGGTTATGGACCTTAACCTGGTAAACTTAGCTTTGTTTGGTAAGTGGCGTTGGAGGTTGTTATCTAAAGCTACCACTCTATGGAAGGATATCTTATCTGCAAAATTTAGTGCCTAAGTGGTTTCTTCCTTAAGAGGTGATATATCTTCTAATCTCCATTTAGATTCATCTTGGTGAAAGGGTATCTCTTTTCTAAGTTCTAGAGTAGGGGATTGATGACACTTTGTCATCATGTAATTTTTATAAACATTTGCATGTGTTTTTAATCATTTTTCAGGTGATTTTAGTTAGTTTTGATTAAAAATGAAAACAAGATAAAAAAATGAAAGACATAGGAAAAAAGAGGAAAAATGAAAGAATTTTGAGCAAAAAGAGCATTTTGTCCTTGGAAAACTCATGGCCACATCATGACGAGATGAACATCACATCGCGGTGCGATGTAAAGTTATCGTGGTGTGATGACTAACTTTTTTCTGTCATGGTTTACTACTATAAATATGGAAAACAGTGAAGAAATAAGGGTTGGAAATTTTTGTATGGATTCTTGATGGCAAGGCAAGTTTTATAGGTCTGGAGCGAATATTTTCATCAGCGGAAGTCAAATTCTAACAGGAGATTCATGTATTTTTCTCTTTATTTCTTCATCTATAATTACTATCAATATGAATAACTAAATTTTTATTGATTAGGGCTTGCTAGATGAACCTGTACGAACCTATCAGATCACATGTTTGTGTATTGTACTAATGACACTTTTGATTAATTTAGTATCATTATTCAGTCAATTTCATGTTTATTGCTTTGTATGTGTTTATGAATTCATATATCAAACTTAGAGGCGTATTATGTAATGCCCTGATTTAATTTAAATTATTTTCGTGATTTAATTATGTGACATTTGGTTACCTTATTGTGTGATTGGTATTTTGGTGTATTAGAGAGCCTTTTGGTGTATGATGGTAGCCTTGGAAAATATGATTTTAGGTGTTGAGTGTAACACCCCGTTTCCCCAAAAGAGAATAAAACAATTAAAATAAACACACATCAGAGTTTTCCCACAACGGGATGTCACAATTTTCAACATAATTCCACAAATTATCTCAAAACTGATTTCCCATGAAATTTCAGCGGAAAAAGAAGTCTGTCATAACACATAACAACATATATACATTATCCATGTCATCAACATCGTTATATATAACAATCGGCCATCTGTCCAAAACATACATAATGTCATCACATGTCTCACAAAAGTCAGATACGCCACAGGGGCACACATATCAACAATAAAACAATAAGACTCCCAAAAAGCCTCGGTGTTACGTATCAGAGCAGTCATACGACGACGCCACAATCTAAGCTAGCTAAACACCTGGATTGTCTGTACTTCCGAAGAAGCACAGACCACAACAACATCAAAGGGGGTGAGAATCACGATCAAATAATAATGGTATAATGGTACATGAAATGAAAGGCAGAAACAATAACTCATTATTTCACATACAACATATGTGGACCTACTGTCCCATGCCAACACATTATGCATACCACGAATGCAACACATCCGGACCTACTGTCCCCTCATTCACAATCACAACACACACAACCCACAATGCAACACATGCACTCGACTCAACAATTATGCGGTACCGACTCAACTCAGGATAGATCACATACACTCCACCGAGCAACGATCTATCCCTACCACGCTCCTCCTGAGCCCATATAATCAAATCATCAAAGTCCCCCACTTGGGACACGGGTGGTCGCATACGCTCCATCTGAGCAACGATCCAAATCCCGTCCACGCTCTCCCCTTGGAGCACGCGAGTGAATCATACACCGCGTCCACGCTCCCCCACTTGGAGCACGTGAGTAAATCACACCTCACGTCCATGCTCCCCACTTGGAGCACGTGTGTGAATCACATACACTCCACCGAGCCATGATTCACCACGTCTACATGCTATGCAAGACACTATGCATAACCACACGGAATTCACGGTGCCCACGATCCTACTGATCCATCGCATCATATAATGCATATACACACAAGCACACAAAGTGCATCGATCCTACTGATCTAATCACCACACAACATATCACACACCATGCACATAAGGCATATCGATCCTACTGATCCAATCACCACACAACATATCACACACCATGCACATAAGGCATATCGATCCTACTGATCCATCGCATCATATAATGCATATACACACAAGCACACAAAGTGCATCGATCCTACTGATCCAATCACCACACAACATATCACATACCATGCACATAAGGCATATCGATCCTACTGATCAAATCCAACAAACAACACACAAACACAACGCACATAAGGCGTATCGATCCTACGGATCCACTCATCACAACAACATATAACGCAACGCATATAAAGCGTATTGATCCTATGGATCCACTCATCACAACACATCACCACAACGCACTCGATGCGTGACTATCCTACTGATCCACATATCTCACACCTAGCACATAGTGCATACATATCATATACACATTCA